GTAATGACTCTCGAAAACAGCACGTAGACGCGGCTCAGAAGGGAAATCGGTCTGTAGTTCTTTAAGAGAGCGTTGTCGCCTTTCTTAAAGAACAAGACCACCGCACTTCTGCTCCACGCCTCTGGAGTAGTGCCACCATGGAGGACGGAATTGAAGAGCTTCTGAAGGACTTCAAGTACCGGTGTTCCACCCGCTTTCAGAAGCTCCGCTGTAATTCCATCCTCGCCTGGGGCCCTGCCGTTTTTAAGGTGCTGGAGAGCCATTCTAATCTCGCTTAGACTGACGTCCGGGATATCATCGGAATAGTGTCGGATAAGACTTGCTCTTGGATCGTTACTCACACTTGCGTGTGGCTCCAACGATGATGTGTACAGCTGCCCATAGAACCTCTCAATCTCACTCAAAATCTCAGGTGTCCCGGAAACGATGTTGCCACACTCAGTCTTCAGCCTTGACAGTTGGCTCTTTCTGGCAGACAGATCTCTGGCAAAGACTTTGGAGCCCTGGTTCCGCTCGATCGCTTCTTTAATACGAGAAGTATTAAAGTTGCGTAAGTCTCGCCGTATGCATTTGGACATCTGTCTGTTCAGTTGCCTGTATGCTGTCAAATCTGTTGACGATTGCAGCCTCATCTCCCGTCTAACAGCCATGAGATTAAGAGTGTGATCGGAGAGTTTTTGTGTTCTTCTGCGGCGGGTCTTGCAGAACTTAGCTCCGACCGCATGGACAGTTTCCACGAGCTTGTCGTTCATATCGTCCACTGCATTGCAATCTTCTAGGCACTGGAAGCGGTTACGTAACTCGAGCTGAAAGTTTTCGGGATTCTGGATTAGAGCACGAGGGGGGACGGAGCGTTGACTTCATTAGACGAGACCTCTCCAACTTAACGTTTAGGTTCAGTGTGCCTCTAACCATTCGGTGATCGCTGCCAGTTTTCACCCTTGCGATCACTGAGACATCACTGAACAGTTGGAGTCTGGTCGTCATAATGAAGTCAATCTCATTTTTTGTCGAACCGTCGGAGCTCGACCAGGTCCACTTCCTGTGGGGCCGCTTCTGGAAGAAAGAGTTCATCATAAAGAGTCCCTCTTTCTCCATAAAGTCGGCCAGCTGCTGGCCCCTTCGGTTCCGTTGCCCTACTCCAAATTTCCCTACCTTCAGCTCACCGCTTTCTCTTGTGCCCAGTTTTGCGTTGAAGTCTCCCATCAACACCGTGTAGTAGGTTTTGGAGGAATGTATGGCTCTGGAAATATCCTCATACATTTCCTCCACCTCCTCATCGGGATGTGCCGAGGTTGGTGCGTAAACCTGAATGACCTTCAGCGAATACCGTTTGGTGATTCTGAGTATCAGGTACACGACCCTCGTCGACACACTCCCAATCTTTACAACGTTGTTGACGAGAGATTTGTGGACGATAAATCCGACACCTCCTTGGGACAGATGGTCGCCCTCCCGGTGATAGAACAAGTTGCCGGACTCGAGGATTGCCGTGTCCTCCCCCTCTCTTCGGACCTCGGATAATCCAATAATATGCCAGCGCAACTTGTCTACCTCTTCTTCCAGCTCCAGTATCTTCTCGTCAGTCCTCAGGGTGCGTGCGTTATATGTTGCCAGGTCGAGTCGTCGTAGGTGGCAACCGAACCTCCACCGGAGATTCTTAGCACCCCCTGCCCCGCCGTTACCATGGTCGCCACCGTAGCCAGGAATAGCGGGGCCGCCGGGGACTGGGGGCCGTCTGTTTGTGTATTTATTCATTGGGGGGTATTTGCCATAGTTGCCACGCTTGGCGAGCGGGTTGGCAACCGCAGTTTTTTATTACGTCACAGTTGTCATCAGGAAGACGCTGCTGCCCATCTCCTGCCTGTCTCCCTCTGTCGCCTCTTACGACACCCACCCAGTTTGTCTGTACTACTAAGAAATTCAGGACTTCATAGGCGTGATTTTTACTGACAGCTGTCGCTGAGATCAAACTATCTTTTATGAACCATAGTGATTAAGATAGGAATATCAGTAAAATATTTCTCGAAAACCATTGCAACGTCCTGATCAGATTTAGTTAATTTATTGTTAAAACTTAACTGGTAGTTCGAATTGCGAGAGTTGACCTTACCAGTTTCACTATTATACTCCATGTCATTTTAATTTTATTAGAAGCCGTCTTTATTTTGTTGCTCAAATACAATGACTTAGCTATGGAGCACACTTTTAAATATTTTGGAATATTTTTTTACATATTCCATAAATTCGACGCTAGGATTATATGACCTTTCATTGTAAAGTTCATATAACCTTTGTCTACTTTTATGGACTCCTACTGTCGCCCACTCATTAAATGCCTTGCGATCGTTCAAGGAGAATGTTTTAGAAGTAAAAGTATTATTAAATTGATTGCAAATAAGCTTAAATAATGTACCATACAGTAAATCTGGATTATTTTGGCATGAAAGTGATGGAAGTCTTTTTATTATGTTACTTCTAAACTTCTCCAAGCGACGTGCATTTACTGGAACAAACACTACTTTTTTATTTACCTACTTGCTTTTTGTGAACATAAGGTAACGAAACTAATTGTCCATAGTGATCAGAGCTCAATTTTTGAATAATACATTTATTTTATTGAACGGCTTAACATTTGTAAAAATGTTATCTATACATGTTGCACTAGATTCAGCAATACGCGTTGGCTCCAAAAATAAATTAAAAAGACCATAAGGTTTAAACAATGATCTAAATGTAATATTGGTGGAGGAAGCTTCTAGGAGATTGATATTAAAGTCTCCACATATTACAACAGATATATTCTGTTTATTATGCTTAGCAAAGGGTTAACCTCACCTACGCTTATTAATTTATATATAAATGAACTGATTCATAGACTCGGAAGTGCATGTGTCGGCTGCTCTATTGATGGACACTGCATGAACAATATCAGGTAGGCAGACGACATGGTGTTTCCGAGCCCGTCTTAACGCAATTAGTGAAAAACCCGAGTGTACTTTTTTGAGGCATTGGGTTCATGTCCATGTACCCATTGCCTCGGACAGGCACCCCAGGTATATGAGATAATGTTATTTAATTTATTACCTAATTTTACTTTTAAGACCTTTTCTTTGTATTTTTTAACAAATTAATTATATTATATCATTATGGTAAGTTTTGTTGGTGGTTTTGTTAATATATAATTAAATCGGTTATGGTATATGTAACGGTAAGAATGATTTATAATTTTAGTATTAGAATAGATTTGAATGAATGTTATTATATCCTATGATCCTTGTTCATTGAAATAAATAAAAATAAAATTTAAGATGTAGGTACATGAGCTATTAATAGTTTAATTAAAACAGTAAAATATTATTAAATAGCTATTATAAATTTCTAAATAACAAATTATTTTGGTGGTAGCTCCTTGTTTACTTTCTTCATTTATTACCTTCGATCAATTCTATGCAATATGAAAATTTTGTTAATTGTTACTATTTAAATTACAATATTACCAATTAGTTAAAAAGTATTTCGATCATGTATTTTCTGAATAAATAAAAGAAAAATAATACTCAAATAATGAAATAAAAGCGCACGCACAACGAATGAATTGCGCTCTTACTTTTTCACTGGCTTGCTTGATTCGTTCATCTACAGTCAGCTCAAACTCGAGTTAGGTAGATCCAACTCGAGTTAGTAACTCGAGTTGACCCATCGCTACTCTTTGACCTGTCACAGAGTAGCTTTATATACCTATAATATATATCTTCATATACCTCCATGTGTAGCATGTTCTTTGACACATGGCAACACATGGATTCAAAGAACATGCAACACATCCCCATTAGGATTATTTATATTATTTATTCCAATCCCCAGTTAAGGGTACATATATATGTTCTGTATATATATATATATATATATATATATACACATTTTTTTATTAACTGGCTTTACGGCTCTGGTTTCTAGACCTTCTGAGCCTCTCCTTTCTTTTAGAATCTTCATTTTATGTTCTTTTTCTTCACAATATGCTGATGCGTCACACTGCAAAGCCAAGCTTCAAGGAGATTTTGACGACAGCTCATCCTAACGGACAGATGATGACGACAGCCACTCAAGTTCATAAGGTGTCCAAGCAATCAAAATAACTTGAGGTTTATATCGACATCAAAGCACTTGTTTCGTCGTTTTCTCTAATAGATCACATGCGCGGACACTTAATTCACAAAATCGCATAACTTTTACGAATCAAAATCCACTTCAAACCAATTATTCAAGCGACAAAACAGGAGCAACAATCCGTCTACGGTGAAGTTCCCGCCAAAACTCCATACGTATTGCTAATATATATATATATATATATATATATATATATATATATATATATATATATATATATAATAAGTGTAGACAGAGTAGGATTATCTGCGTAGACAATGAAGGTTAGAAACGAGGTTAGAACAGGAGAACGATCACCGTAGAAAATAGTGTCCAGAAATATGGACACCATAAATAAGTGAGGCGCTGCGATCGCTCGAGGTTCGTTCAATAAAAGTCATTTTGAGTCTATTTTTCCGATCAGATGCTAAACCACTTGCATATCCATGCACAATAAAATATTTCTCCATTTTTTAATGTTTCTTTTTGTCAAAAATTACAAAATTACGGAGCACGAAAATGTTTTCACCAGAAAGAGAAAATTTGTACATTATTCAACTAACTTCATCTACTTGTACTCATAAATAGCCAACTTCGCAGTTACTACTCAGCAACGTCAGCGCTGCTATACATTCTACAATTTTCAAGGACAGGCAGGCTATGCTTTAGTATGTATAATTATAGTGATCGTTTCATGGCGATTCTCTGTCTACGTTGCTAAGCAACTATGAGTAAACACCATAGATAGTGTATATACGGAAAGTAAACATAAAACACGTAGAATTATTCATAAAGCAAAAATTAATCACAGGTTTTTAAATAGATTACTGGTTTTTACAACCCATTTAGATATGACAGAACCATTAAATTCTAACTTCCCAGAACCTAAAAAAGTCGGTGTCTGGGCGGAGGGAACTCACATAGAAGCGAAGTAAGCCTTATAGTTCTGTTCCAATATAAATAAACTTTGATTCTGTGGTTATAACCGTTTTTTGTATTAGCATATTACGTGTACCCATTCTTTTAACCTTTTATTCAGGTCTTCAGCAGGAGTAATAGTTCTGTAGTCTACTAAATCTTTAGAGAAGTGATTTTTTTGTAATGACGATGCAGTTACATTTTTCCATGAGCTGCCCGTTTTTTGTTGCAAACATTTGATTTATAAAAAACTTAATAACATTAAAGCGCTAAAGGCGGCGGTAGTCACTTAACATCAGGTGAAACGTATGCTCGTTTGCCCCCTCTTCTATATAAAAAAACAAAATCATTTGTATCCTTTCGCGATGAAGGCTATATTGTCGACAAATCAAAGGTGAACGACTTACCTTCAATATCGTTGATATAACATTAATTCAAAATAGTATTTTGTAAATTTTTAGGGAGTTAGTGATACCAAAGAAATCCCCTGAATCTTTAGAGGATATTCCTACTATACCAGATTTGGATGATTTACAAGACATTTTAGAAAAGGAAATATCAATGCCCCCAAAGTAAGTACCTAATAATTACAAAGATTTACAAATGCTCAAGTTACTTTTTATTTACAGTTTTTATATATTTATTAGTTAAGCTTCTAATGTTTATGTGTTATACAGCCTCCCATTTAAATTCTAAATAACAAGCAATTAAGTAGGCTAATATAGATGTCAGCTCACATAGACAATTTATCTAAATTATTGTTAACAATTAACTGTGAAGAGGCAGTTCAAGAATATTCATTACCCCCATATTGCCCCATGGGGGTCATAAGAGGTGACAGAGGGGATCTGGAACTCAGCAACATCTTCCTGATAATAACTCAAAATTATAAAAAAAATGCAGTTGCCTACCAAGCATGGCAACTATAGCAAAATCCCCCTATGAGTATGAAATGGAGGCGGCCTATGTACATTAGTAAATAAATAATAAAGCTTAGCTTGTTTAAGTCTAAGCTTGTTTCTCTCACAAATTTAGCTTTATTTAGCAGCTTTATTATGGTTGTAGCTCGAATGGGTTGGCTCGACCGGAGAAAGACCTATTTTATGCTGGTACACTCACAGAATACCAGCATAAAATAGCAGCTTAATACTGCTGTGTTTCATATGATGAGTGTAGAGATCCAGAGATACTTTTTTACTGGAAACGTGGCATTCCATTGTAGTCCTCAGGGGTGATGAGGCATCTATGTTTTTATTCTTAATCAAGGATAAATGTAGATGTCTATGGGCCACAGCATCCACTTACCATCAGGTGGACTGTTTGCTCGTTTGTCACCCTTATTCTATAAAAAACATTTAGAAATAGATTCAATAACATACAACTTACATTAATATGCTAAAATTAATTTGTGAAAGGCTGGTGTCTATACTAGGATTCACTGTATGATAGATCACCAGCCCAATATACAATGGACATTGATAACATTATCTTTCTAAGCATAAACATGCTTTAGTGGACAAATATAGTGAAATGTAGGTGATAATTGAAAGCAGACCTAAAAACTGTAAACAGAGATCCAGAGTGTAGAGTGCAGCTAGTACCGAATGTTTGATACGATTTTGAATATGTTGCACAAAGCTGCAAATGAAGATGTTATTGCATTAATTTAGGTATATATGACATCTGCAACTAAAACAAAGCATATTTATACTTATGTTCTTATTTCAATTAATAAGTAAGGAAAAATCCCTTCTCATGATTTAATAATTTTTATTTAAACTGTTTTAGTGCTGAACAAAAAGATGCTGAAACAGTAAACACTTTAGCTGAAGTGGGCGTCGGTATCAGTGGCTCAACTGAAGGCATAGAAGGTGTACTTGAAGTGCTTATGTCATATGTTCCTCAAGTTGAGTCAGATACAGATGATACTGTATGGACTGTAGACTCACTGCTCAGTCAACTTTCAGAAGAAAATGAGACTACTATAGAATATAAATGAATGCTCTTTCTGTTTTTCATGAAATTAGAACAGATAAGTTGGTTTTGAACAAGTATGACAATCACATGGGTCATTAGATTGATAAAATTAGAAATTGTAAATTATTCCAATACTTTTCAACTGGGAGTAGTGGGTTGATTAATATCATCTTAGTCTTTACGAGAGTAATTAAGACAGTTAATACAATTGTAGAAATGTGTAAGCAGTAGTTTAAGTGATTAGTACTACATGCTAAATTACCATTTTCGCCTTTCTACTAAATTCATATAAAATCATATTTATACATTATTTTCAAGTGGCACTTAAGCACTAGTATTCGAATGCTAATAAACACACTAAATATAATATAGCACTAAAATTATGTAAATTGGGAATAACATTAATTTGTGCTCATATTTTTATTTTTTTGTAGTTTGCAAGATGATGTTGTGACCAGGATTAAGAAAAAAATGCTTTGGTGGTTTGGTCATGTAGAATGAATGAATGAGGAAAGAGTGATGAAGCAAATCTATGTTGTAGAAGAGAACGGCAGAGTTGGGATGAGATGCAATAGACAAAAGTTTATCGACTAAATTGGCGATATATAAAAATAGGCTAGATTAAGAGTACTCTTAAACAAAGAGCATGTATGTGTAGGTACCAGGCGGTCCCATAATGAACTGGCCTGATATAGTTCAACGCGACATGTCGCTACATGTTGTGTTGCATTAAATAGTACGTTTATCATGCACTTAATATAAGAAACATGCATCGACATGAAATGCTTAGTCTTAGTTTAACAGGCATTTGAATAACGAGAGTCGCGTATTTTTTTCAAAATGTCGAAAACTGAGTATCGAAGTGTCATAAAATTTCTGTTTAAAGAAGTTTTATCCCCTGCCCAAATAAAAGAACGATTGGATGGCGTGTATAAGGAGTCTACCCCCTCCTATAGCACAGTGAAAAATTGGGTGAAAGAGTTTCGCCTCGGGAGAGAAACCGTCGAAGACTTTGGCCACGACGGTCGACCTGTGGAAGTGCTCACTCCCGAAACGATTGATCTTATCGAAGAGGAGGTTCTGAGTGACCGTCGTTGGAAGATTAGAGAAATTGCAGCAAGGCTTGGGCTCTCTAAGAGTACCATTCATCGCGCGATCCATGAACATCTTCACATGAAAAAAGTGAGTGCAAGATGGGTACCGAAACTTCTTTCAGCGGTACAGAGACAGGAAAGAGTGCGCTGCGCTTCGGAGTTTTTGGATCTTTGTGGCGAAAATCCAAAGACTGTGATCGAGCGGCTAGTGACTGGTGATGAAACTATGATCTTGTATCATGATCCACAAAGCAAGCGCGAGTCAATGGAATGGCGTTATAAGGGTGAAAAGCCCCTTAGAAAGGCAAAGGTGCAACAACCGACTAAAAAACTGATGTGCACAATATTTTGGGATTTTCAAGGCATTTTGATGGTGGATTTTAAAGAACGTAATACAGTCGTGAACGGCGAATATTTTGCTTCTTTAATATATAAATTACGAGACAAGATAAAGAAAAAACGAAGAGGCAAGCTGTCTAAAGGTGTCCTGTTGCTCCATGACAACGCCCCTGTTCATACTGCTGGTGTTTCGAAGGATGCAGTTCGTCAATGCGGGTTCACAGAAGTTCAACATCCACCTTACAGTCCAGACATGGCCCCGTCCAACTATTATTTATTTCCAAATTTAAAGCGGGACTTAAAGGAAGAAAATTTTCAAGCGATGAAGAGTTGCAGGCGGCCGTCTTCAGTCATTTTGAGGATAAAAAATGTGATTATTTTTATAAAGGTTTAGAGATGTTGATTCACAGATGTCAGAAGTGTGTTAGTATTCATGGTGATTATATTGAAAAATAAAATTAGTTTCGTTTCATTTCCTTCATTGGTTCATAGTTAGGCCAATTCATAATGGGACCGCCTACGTATATGGATTTAAAGGAGGCGAGGGTGGTGTGTCAGGATCGTGCCAAATGGAAGTCTGTAGTTTCCGCCTACCCCTGTGGGTGACAGATGTGAGCATTTATGTATGTCTATATTATGTATTGTGCTCATAATTTTGAGATAAGCTAAGACGGAGAGTCAAGATGATGATAACATTCACAACAAAACCAGACTAGAAATGTAGACTCCCAACTAGGAGCCAATTCAAAGGTCTGGTTCCAACCGCAATACTTGTTAATTGGTGGTCAAGTAATTCATATCAGATAAACAAGCTCACAGTCTATCTCATGATAAGTGGATTATTAGGTCCATACATAGGTACCTAACGTCTTTCCTTAATAAGGTATTGAAATACAGATGTGACGTCATTCCTGAGTATCAAGATGGAATGCCTTTATACATGTAAAATAAACTATGGTAAACAAAAATTAGATTATGTTTTAATAATCACCTCGATTTTAAGGAAAATGCGGTCAGCATGTTAAGCTATAATTAATACACGACAGATAGAAACAAACTTTTTCATTTAATATAGATATATTTATTGAAAGTTACTCTTTTGTTTAATTTAGCGCTGGAAAAAATCTCGGTCCTGGGAAGAACCAGCAAGAAACCCAACGAGACTTTAAAAAAATAACAGCTTACAATCATGAGCCATAGCAACTCAAGGGCTAGGAGAGCCATAGTAACTCAGGGGCTAAAAGAGTCGTGGTAGCTCAGGGGCTAAGATAGCCGTGGTAACTCAGTTCTTAGAGAGCCGTGGTATCTCAGGGGATAAGAGGGTCATGGTAGCTCAGTTCTTAGGGAGCCGTGGTAACTCAGTTTTTAGAGAGCCGTGGTGTCTCAGGGTATAAGATAGCCGTGGTAACTCAGTTCTTAGAGAGCCGTGGTAGCTCAGGGGATAAGATAGCCGTGGTAACTCACTTCTTAGAGAGCCGTGGTATCTCAGGGGATAAGAGAGCCGTGGTAACTCAGTTCTTAGAGAGCCGTGGTATCTCAGGGGATAAGAGGGTCATGGTAGCTCAGTTCTTAGGGAGCCGTGGTAACTCAGTTTTTAGAGAGCCGTGGTGTCTCAGGGTATAAGATAGCCGTGGTAACTCAGTTCTTAAAGAGCCGTGGTAGCTCAGGGGATAAGATAGCCGTGGTAACTCACTTCTTAGAGAGCCGTGGTATCTCAGGGGATAAGAGAGCCGTGGTAACTCAGTTCTTAGAGAGCCGTGGTATCTCAGGGGATAAGAGAGCAGTGGTAACTCAGTTCTTAGAGAGCCGTGGTAGCTCAGGGGATAAGATAGCCGTGGTAACTCAGTTCTTAGAGAGCCGTGGTATCTCAGGGGATAAGAGAGCCGTGGTAACTCAGTTCTTAGAGAGCCGTGGTATCTCAGAGGATAAGAGGGTCATGGTAGCTCAGTTCTTAGGGAGCCGTGGTAACTCAGTTTTTAGAGAGCCGTGGTGCCTCAGGGTATAAGATAGCCGTGGTAACTCAGTTCTTAGAGAGCTGTGGTAGCTCAGGGGATAAGATAGCCGTGGTAACTCACTTCTTAGAGAGCCGTGGTATCTCAGGGGATAAGAGAGCCGTGGTAACTCAGTTCTTAGAGAGCCGAGGTATCTCAGGGGATGAGGGTCATGGTAGCTCAGTTCTTAGGGAGCCGTGGTAACACAGTTTTTAGAGAGCCGTGGTGTCTCAGGGTATAAGATAGCCGTGGTAACTCAGTTCTTAAAGAGCCGTGGTATCTCAGGGGATAAGAGAGCCGTGGTAACTCACTTCTTAGAGAGCCGTGGTATCTCAGGGGATAAAAGAGCCGTGGTAACTCAGTTCTTAGAGAGCCGTGGTATCTCAGGGGATAAGAGAGCCGTGGTAACTCAGTTCTTAGAGAGCCGTGGTGGCTCAGGGGATAAGATAGCCGTGGTAACTCAGTTCTTAGAGAGCCGTGGTAGCTCAGGGGATAAGATAGCCGTGGTAACTCAGTTCTTAGAGAGCCGTGGTATCTCAGAGGATAAGAGGGTCATGGTAGCTCAGTTCTTAGGGAGCCGTGGTAACTCAGTTTTTAGAGAGCCGTGGTGCCTCAGGGTATAAGATAGCCGTGGTAACTCAGTTCTTAGAGAGCTGTGGTAGCTCAGGGGATAAGATAGCCGTGGTAACTCACTTCTTAGAGAGCCGTGGTATCTCAGGGGATAAGAGAGCCGTGGTAACTCAGTTCTTAGAGAGCCGTGGTATCTAAGGGGATAAGAGGGTCATGGTAGCTCAGTTCTTAGGGAGCCCGTGGTAACTCAGTTCTTAGAGAGCCGTGGTGTCTCAGGGGATAAGATAGCCGTGGTAACTCAGTTCTTAGAGAGCCGTGGTAGCTCAGGGGATAAGATAGCCGTGGTAACTCAGTTCTTAGAGAGCCGTGGTATCTCAGGGGATAAGAGAGCCGTGGTAACTCAGTTCTTAGAGAGCCGTGGTATCTCAGGGGATAAGAGAGCCGTGGTAACTCAGTTCTTAGAGAGCTGTGGTATCTCAGGGGATAAAAGAGTCGTGGTAACTCAGTTCTTAGAGAGCCGTGGTATCTCAGGGGATAAGAGAGCCGTGGTAACTCAGTTCTTAGAGAGCCGTGGTATCTCAGGGGATAAGAGAGCCGTGGTAACTCACTTCTTAGAGAGCCGTGGTATCTCAGGGGATAAAAGAGTCGTGGTAACTCAGTTCTTAGAGAGCCGTGGTATTTTAGGGGATAAGAGAGCCGTGGTAGCTCAGGGGCTAAGAGAGTTTTGGTAGCGCAGTTATGTATAGAAATAGAATGAAAATGCTGTATGAGTTTACAAGGTCCTTGACATTACACTACGCGAAAAAAATCGAAAACTGCGAAGCTGTGATCGGTTCGCTAATCGCATAATAAATCTGTAACTAGGGCCTTAGTATAACCAGGTACGTAAATATCTAGATACTACTACCACTACCTATAAATAGTAATATCTTACCTTTAGATATCCTTTGGAACAGTAAAGAATGAAAAGTAGACATTCCTATTGTTATTTAAGCACTGGTACCGTAAAACCTGCCAAAATTGGCCACATTTTGCACTTAATCAACTTTAAATCCAAAAAACTGTTAGTAAAGTATTAGTTTTTCATATTTGTTTAACACCAGAAACCACAACTGTTGATGTTAAATCACGGAAATTGCGAAAATTAGGACAGTTTCGTACCTAAAAATTTATTTTTTTAGTCGGCCAAAATTACATCAGCTTTCTGTCAACATTAGCCACTGCTTATAACTCTTGAATTAAAGTCTCAATGCCGTTTACTTTAAGAACTATGATAGGAAACTGGCCAAAGAAGACGTATAAAAGGCAATAATAACAAAAAGTTAAATATTTTGGCTTAAAGCGAGGTGGCCAGATACCCGAAACTTATTTTAAATTTCCATACAAAACAGTTTTAGACTCAGGGTTGTCAATTTTTTTAATTATTATATATTGGTTGGGCGTTTTACAAAAAAATACATGTTTTTAATCAATCGCATTTCATTATACGCGATTTATTTGGTACAATATTAGCATATAAAATATGGCACTTTTACTAAGCAAGTAGACAACAACATAGACTATCAAATTATATCAAATATTAAATGGTTATGAGTAAGTACTTAAATTACTATCACGTATTTGTGAGATCAAAATTCTTAAAAAAAGATTCTTTTTTCAATTTAGTAATTTCAAGACTACTTAATCATCACGTTGAGGTGAAAGAGAAAACTCAAATTTATAAATAAAAATATATACAATAGGTACCAAGCTTAAAGTGTTTATTTAGAACCTAGGTACCTACTGAAAAAAAAAATGAAAAACATACTTTAGCAACTTTAGGAAATGAGCGTGTAAATGACACATTCTAGTAAATACCAAAGAAATACAGCAATATACTTTTTGTGATAACACAAGACATAATATCAAATAGTTTACTACGTTTTCCTTTTTGACAGTTTTTCTCAAACGACGTTTTTTCTTCCTTTTTTTACTGCTAGTCTTCTCTCTGCTATGCTTTAAGTAGTCTAGCAATGCATTGTCAATCCCATATGATGCCACATCTTCTTGATACTCTGGTACACGCTTCAGTACTTCTCTTGGGTTGAATGGGTAGATCCCCGTTGCTCTGAATCCGCTTTTGATATTTTTAGATGAATATATTTCAACTTGATCAACTAAAGAATGTAAAAGTTTTGGGAAATGATTCTTATTCAGAGTAGTTTGGTTGGGATTTTCCATTTTGTACTTGAGTAATATTGCTCGCTACACTTTTTTGTGTCAAAGTGGTGCAAAAAAAGCGACGTCAAGGGGTTGTGTTATGTGTGTCGAGCTAGATGGAATGAAAACAAACTGAATATTGTGACACTCACATAATTCGATAACACTCACATTTAAGTGGCTTGATAAATTATCGCATATAAAGACCTTTTTACCAGGTGACTCAATCCATAATAGTTTTGTTAAAGTGGGCATCCGAATTCCCCAGCAGAAATTGAAACTTTAACAAACTTGGCTTCTTCATCAGATAATCGCGTTGGACATCCGACAGACTTTGTATGAGACTTGTTTATATTATTTAATATTGTCTGTTTAGGAATCGCGAATTGTCGCGCCGCCTCTCTTGCTGATATCTGTTTTTTTCTAACAAGATCTACAGCTATTTCAAGCATTTCATTTGAATAATTTTTATATTGCCGGGCACCAAGGCGCCTGCGACTTTTTCTTGCTTTTTTTAGCTTAGAGCTTGCTTTTTTTTGCTTTGCTTGGCTTAGATGTATCCATTCTGTAAATATATATGGACATAAATAACAAGCAAATATACATATTTTAAACTGTATTCTAGGTATTATACCAAAACTAATTGTAAAACTAAGTTATAAGCAAAAAGTACCATCAACTGATGAACTGAACATGAGTAGGTAGGTACCGAATTCTAAAATTATCAGTGGGCAGCCCTAGTATTATTTTTCTGTGGCCAAAGTTAACGGCACATGTTTGCTACAAGTGATTGTAACATTGGCCATTTGAACTACTGATTAATAGAGGACTCATACTGATTTTAGATGTACACCATATTAAAACCAAGATTTCACTTAATAACATATCAAAAATTCCACTCACTTGGATCATTTTTCAAGCGCGAAAAAGCTTTATACTCGAGGAACAATTTGGGACCACCGGCAGAGACTCCATTTGACCTATTTGACAACTGTTGACAGCCAATTGAGTGAACTTAGTAACCGAAGGTATGATTGGTATTGCCAGAAATATATTCTATTTTCCACAATATGTTGTAAAATGTTGCTATATGAGATATATTTTTTACTACAGCAAATTTTTGTTATTTTTGTCAAGTGGCCAATGTTAGAATTAAAGGCCAAAGTTGGCGGGTTTTACGGTACTGCCGTACTTTTTATTCTTTTGAGTGGCTATAGTTACTTGAATAAAAACTCAAAAATAAATATCAAGTGCCTAAATACTTATAATAGAAAAAATTCTTTTTTGTTAACGTAAGGCGCGCGAGGATATTCTCACTGAATTAGCCCCCACTACAAGGCCGCGCAGCGTAGGTATATTTTTATGCCTAAAGCACAGAATAAATAATAGTACTTCGTAAATAAGATTCATTCCTTTGATGTTGACCGCTTGCCGACGTTTTAATAGCCTACATAATTATTATTAATTAATTAGATAAATCGGGCACGCAAGCTAAATAAAACTATCGTTGCGCGTGAGTTGCCGTAATACTTTGCATCTTTTCCCCCTTCCTACGTCACGTCGGACTTACCGTGGTTTACTAAGGGCTGTCAATAAAGAGTAAAAAATACATGGGCAAAATGGTAAGAAGTTACTTAGGTGAAGTACCTAGTCTCACTATGATCGGCTGACCATATTTTCGCTACCTACTACGTGAGTTCTGTGATGCCCAACGCATGCAACTTGCAAGGCCAACGCGTCGGGAATCGCGATGCTTGTCGCGGAAGAAATAGGTAGATAGTGTAAACAATAAATAAACCCGAAATACGATTCCTAACAGAAATATGATCGTATTCTACTTAATTAATAATATTGTTAGTAAATGTAGTTTTAATTTCAATATTTTGTTATTATAACTTAGAATATTTTAATTCCAAAGGTCAAGTATAGGTATGTAAGCAGGTACTTGGACAGTAAAGTAAAATTCAAATAACTTTTGTAATAAAATACTTAGGTATTTCTTCTGTAGTTAAATAATTACTTCATTCTTTTTTTGATACAAGTGCCTATCTAACAAAAAAAAATTAAATAAATTCTCGTTTCATAACTTCCTATTTAATAAAATTCTTCGGAAACTTAAAGTAGTAACTCAAACCTATATTCCTGAAACCGTTTGTTGGTTCTTATGCATCCATCCACGCAACAATTATGAGTAGGAACGACGTTTTTCCATTATAATTTATCAAATAGATAGTTAATATAGGTACTTACATAAAATATAAAAAAATTAAATTACATTAAAACTTTTTCAACTATTTATCCTACAAATTAATATACTAACAACAAGTATTTACAAAAAACTACGTAAACAGCGGCTAAAATCTTT